TTCATTATTATAACCAGTTGTACCAGTGATTGTTTTACTGAACTCCTTGTTTATTCGTACTCTGTACGCGCACACTTTCCGTTTGCTTCGTTACCATCTTGGTTACTCTGCTCACGGTAATTTTTCCCATATTCTTTGACATGATCTCGGTATTCTTTTGATACCAAGAGGTCGCCGACAAATGTACGCCTTTTTATGGACTGAACCTTCTTCTCCTTCTTTGATTTGCAGGGGATAACGATCAGTGACGGAAACGTAATTAGTCTATTGTGGTGTTAATAGTAAACCTCGATTTGCGCCATAACACAATTTATCTACAGAATTAGTAGTAATACAAAACACAATTCGCAACTCGGGTGAATCAGTCAAAATCTAAGTAAGAACAGCTCCTGTAACCCTTATCAATAGAGCAGTGAGTAACTTATATAGTCATTATATTAAATAACAGAAGTTCGGTCTTATCTCATGAACGTTGCATCATGCAAGTTCACACTAACCCTCATTTTATATCCTTAAGCTATTCGTAAAATGTTACTTGCTTGTGATGTTCCGAAAAGTTAATTCCTCTCTTCAGAATTCAAAAAACATGCCTGAGACTCTTGACAAGAAGTGACAGATGTGAGTATTGTATTGGAATACTTTTGCGAAGAGATCGTGATTGGTTTGTTAGAAACATTCATTATTATAACCACTTCTACCAGTGATCTTTTAACTGTACTTGTTGTTTAGAACACTTTTTACGCTCAACTTACTATTTGTGTTGCTGCCATCTTCACTGTATCTGCACTTTCATTTCTCCCACTTTCCTGGTGTAATTTCGGTGTACTTCCGACACCAAAAAATCACCAGCAAATATATTCTTTACCTTGGATTTATTTATCTTATCAGTGACGAGCTCGTAATTAGTATTTAGTGGTGATAACAGATAATCACGACTCACCCACTAAAGTGTTTAACATTTTTAGCACATAACCCATTCTAAGTAAAGTCTTTAAGATTTTTTTATTTACCATAAGTTCTCGAAGCATCCAACTGGTAGAAGTTCCTAACCGTCTCTTCAGAGAAAACACGAATCTAGCGCAAAGAAACCAATCGGTTTATACTAGCTCGTGAGGAAGATATCTGATTAGGTATGATAACATGCGAACCTTTACAACTTTTTATTGTTCATGATTTCTTGAGTTACATAACGAGACATCATTTTCCGCATTTAACTAGCCAGAACGCGTTGATATAATGAAGCTATTGATATCTTTATCCGACATAAATAATGCAGCTTCCCGAACTCCTCCAAAGATTGAAAACTTTTACGAATCAGATTTGACTTTTGAAAATACATACAAATCTTTGTGACTTCTTACACTTCAAAACATCTTCCTTAACCATTAATTAATTGAAGGTCACACTGTAAATTTGGGACATAAGAGAGCTGTTAATAATAAGCTGTTCTTCAGTGTTTTATAATTAGTGGCAAAAGCCTTAAAAACTAATGAATTCCTCCTTCATCCACACTGGGACCTTTTTATGCTTGTGAAACTGAATTCTTTGAGCACTATTCTACATCAACGTAACCTACTATTTTTATCTGTGATTAACATAATCCTTTAAACTTATGAAATATGGAAATTATTTTCCAAATTTTTTCATTTGTGTAATAGATTGTACTTACCCAGCATTAATGAACAAGATGATCACTAGATTTATTTATACATACTTGTACGTTTACACTCTGAATCTCAATATCTATTTATCATTAACCACTGTCTACCCAAGATAATCGGGATCCGTCGGCCAGATATCATCAGCGTCAACTAACTGCAGCTGAGAATAAACCAGATTCCAGCTGAGGAAAATATCAGTGAAATGCGCTCTCGAGGTGGGTTTAACGCATTATGCAAAGCCCCCAAGCGCATCACGTGGTAAGCCCTAACCTGAAATCTTCAGAGCTAAATGAAAAGTGGTAGACTAAAGAACTCCCTGAGCCCATAATTGGAGACAGGCAAGAAAAGAACTGTTAGCAATTGGAAAGAATTGAGAAGGAAATCTAAGACAAATGTGGCTAGGGAATCCTGGTTAGCAGCTTGTGCTCCATCTGGATTAACCGGATGTAAATATGAAAGTATCTGCCGAAAGCATTCAGCCAAACGTTGCGGTCATACTAAGATGTAAAGGTTGTCGTACTGTTAACATACTTGCTTTTGTCCAGCTAGTTGAATGTCCACTTATTTCTACATCAAGCACTGTGATTGGGGTTCGCTTACTCTGTGGTTGAAACTGACTTCCTCATAGAATACTGAATTAAAGCTTCCATACTATTTGCCTCTATTGTTGATTTGCAGGCATTCTCATTGATCCTATCATGTGTTAATGGCTGTATCATGCGCAAGCAATTTCATTGGGTAGATACGTCCGGACACTTTCCTCTTCTCAGCCTTATGTAAATCAATACAGGAAAAAGTTTTTGACATAATGTAGAGTCATACACCTAGGCTGTTTTAAGGAGTCGCATATAAAAGTGTTCTGATTCCATTTCTTTCCGACTTTGACAAACTTGTAGCCTGATATAATGAAGATAAACCTGAGATTTTTTCCGCATTTATTTCCAATTTTATTTTAGGTGTTAGGGTTTCGTAGTTTCACAAATGCACACACGCACCTGTAAGTAACATACCACTCAAGTAATTGGAGTTGAATCAACTGTTTTCTTGCATTACGACCTATTGAACTTTGGGTTGTTAATTTAGAGACCTGGTTCTAACATATAAATGACGGTTTTTGATTCACATGCTCTTGTTTCGCTGGCCTTTTAACGTCATTTCAACACAACTTCAACGGATATAATTACAAGAACTCTGCTTTACGTAAGTGTTTTTTGTGTGTGAATTTTTAAAACCACTGTTCTGATAAAGGGAAATCTGAACGGTTTATAATTGTTGGGCGAACTGTTATAGAACAGCATGTTTGAAAATTACCTCACAACGGAAATGCTTTGAGATGTAATAAGGGTTGTTCAGCGAAGCCAATATTCAGAAACATTTCGTCTCCAGAACCACCTAAATTCGTTTGGTTTCGGTCTCATCTCAAACGACGTCGTGAAGAAACTGGCTTTACCTCACCATCATGACTTACGACCAACACATTCCATGAAGCCAACCTGAACGTAGAACAAGTGAGCGGTAGTATATTCTTAATACATACGCTAAAATACAGAGAAACTTATAGTAATCCTGACCTTATTTCTATTATTTTGAAAGACTACCCACTAATCCGTTTTCATAAGTGATGAACATATTTCCGTGTTTTTTTGCTGACAATCTATTGACCTTCTTGTTCCTTATGGGGCTGGAGACATAAACGACAGAACAAGCATTTATTTGCCCACAATCGTTTAATTTTGATGGGAATACAATAATAATCGAGCAGGTTTTAAACTAACATACTAGAGCACTGGATTTTAGGCATGCTAGATATTTTTATGCTTTTCATGAAACTTCCCAAACATCACAAATTACTAGTCAATCTAAGCTAAGGGAGGATGTTTGACCAAAAAACTGGAATATTTCTTTGCGCTGCCACGTTTCCCATATTTAGTTATCGACATAGTTATTTTCTTAAATTACTCTATATTCAACAAACATCTGAAATCCAAAAAAGGAGAAACTAACTTTTCACATGCAACCAGTGTTTTCATACATTTCACTTCTGGCACAAAAAAACGAGCTCTATATGGAAAACTAACTGCTTCCCAAATAACAAACTATGAGTAGGTCATATGTTGGATTTGGAAACCCCAACATTTAAAATGGATATCAATGATCGGCAATCAGTAAGGCGTGATTAGTGAAATCTACCCTAAATCACAAGGAAACAATGTGGTGGCCATACTGCAAATTCTAGAACCAACAGATTTATCAGCTATATTGAGAACAGTACGTTTTTTCACTAGGTCATTGAGTGACAAACTTTTGAATTTCGTTCTTAAAGACATATGTGAGCTTATCTGTGCTACTTAATCAATAGGCCGATTTCGCAGTTATAGACTTGTGAAAATTCACAGTTGACAACGATACTGTCCTTAATACCTTCATAACAGTAAATATCGAAAATGCAGCCGATTTGGAAATGTGGGGATTCGAAGAGTGAGCGGTTTCGGCTAGCTAGTTGATGCGGGAAAGTGAGTAGCACGGCCAAGAGAATGTTGATCTGGTGCGGGTATGTGACTGAACGCCTTGAGCTGGGGCGTCTCCTGCTGAATGTGGGGATTTATGTTCCGCTACGCTAGCCACGATATGACAACCGGGTTTATTAAGTCGTTTTAAACGTCACTCCACTGTCTATACTGACATGTTCTATCATGATAGTTCTATGTGTTTTTAAGGACATCTGAGGAACATACTAGGAAGGCGTTAGAACAGACACAAATAACATGAGGTTACATAACCGTTACACCTGTAAGTCATGATAAGTTAGTAAGTCTGGTATTTCAGTAGCGCGAAAATTCCTTGACTACGACATCAAGTACGAACAGTGACAAATGTTGAGAGCCAGATCTTTCGTGTATGATCCAGATAAATAATATGAAACAGTAGAGCTGGATAATCTGGATCTATAAAATGGTGATTCTCGAAAGTTACCCTTCAAAGGAATCACTCTTATCAACACCCGTATTCGCTAAACTACATATTTAGGTCTTGTCGCATGTTACGCAAGGCGGAATCACATGTGAATATCTGGAAGTGCATCGAGACAACAATGGGGAGATCAATTAAATCGATAGCTCTATACTAGCTCTTAAAAAAGAAACAGAGTATTCGGAATTGGAGATCAATAAAATAAAAGTTTTAAAGAAACCTAAGTAGTACCTCATCGATTCATTAACCTTCCATAAGTGAAACAAGATAAATAAATCTAACAAGTGCTTCCGAGGTACACTATTGTTCGTTTTTCAACATTATGTACGATTGGATACAAGCATGTATTGAGCACTTCAGCCGTGGCCATTTTTTCGAAAAATTTGGCGCTAACATCTGCAGCAATGAAGCGACATGATTCGGCGAAGCAGGTTAGTTCTGAATGAGAACTGTTAGGATTGGTAATATGGGAACTGTTTTATTTTAATCGATCCTTTTTAAGGAAGAGAATGGTTGAAGCAGCAATTACTTCTGGTTCCACATCTCGCTAAACACTCACCTATCACGTCCTAAAATAAATTAGATGTTCGAAAGAAATTTCAGCCAAACTACACTTTGACAACTGGTTTCTTCAGAGTCTGTGATAAAGATATAGTCTATGACTAAATAAAGAATCTTACCACTGAACTTCGCTGCAGAATACCAGTGTTTTGTGCAAACGAAAGTCACTTAATGCGTCACTGTGGCTTCAGTCGGACCATCCATCATTCACAAGCTAGTATATGCTAATTGATTTCCTTGCTCTCGATTCTTGTTCTTTATCTAGGGTTCCGAATATTAGGTAGTGTCCAATTAATAGTAGTCTAATTACCCGGCTGCACTTACTATAGTTAGTAGGTGCTTATGGGTATGTGTGTTCCGGGATTCGAATAAGTGCGTTTGTTTCAAGGTAGTAGCGTTCCTGGATATTACATTACCAGACCGGCGATGAGTTAACTGCAATGTGAAGCAGTAAGCAGGAAAAAATTCTAACACTTATAAGATTTCAGAATTAAGTAAATGAATAAGATAACTGATTGTGAAGATTGTGCGAGGTGCGCGGAATGTGCGAGGTCCCAGCTAAAATCTGTCGCCTTTTCAAAGGTCAGAACGTCTCGAAAGGAAAACCCCCTCCAATGAGGGTAACTCTTGATTCAGCACGACTAGCTGAGGACATCATCCTTTCGTCCCAAAGACCGTCGGTCAAATTGTCCTCGCTGATTCGTATCAGGCATGACAAGCCGTGGTCGGTACGTGCAGCAGCCAGAACTGCACCAGACACCCAGGAACAGACCACCATGGTAGTTCACGCATACCCGACTCACCAATGGTAACCCGGACGAAGCACACGAGCA